TTACTCTTTCAATAAATTGAGAAGCTGGGAGGGTCTCTCAGACTTTCACTAAATTTTCTGAGTTTCGCACAATTCGAGGACGGGTAGGTGTTGGATAATCCATAACCGAGTCAGTAGTTTTTAATTTATTTTACTATATCTTTGACGAATAGTGCCCTACACCTTCGGACAGTTGTGTTGACCACACGATTCTCGTAACGCACGAAACGTATGACAAATTGAACTGCCGTTTTGATAATACTCTTTAGTGGTTTTAATGCAATGCTCAACTGGATAGCGAAGCGAATCATCTTGATAAATGCCAAACTTTTAATAAGTGAACTGTTAATAACTTAACGCCAATGGACGATCCAATATGACCGACATGGGTCAGTCAAAGATATCCTGTCCCTATTGAAAAATATTGTCTTTATTACAAGATAAAAATTATTAATGACCTAACCTTTAAATTTATCTTAATACTAGCTGTGCCCCGTGGTTTTACCGGTGGTTTATTTTCCTGCAGTAAAACGTAGCCTATGTGTTAATCCAGGGTGTCAGCTAACTCCATATCAAATTTTATTAAAATCTCTCCAGCCGTTTACACGTGAAGAAGTAATAAACATACACACTCACACTCACAAACTTTCGCCTTTATAATATGAGTGTGATATATACGTCTATAACGATTATTTGATATTCTACAGCATCGTATGTGTTTGTGTTTTCATGTAGAAGAAAAAAGTCGGCGAAGATGAAAATTAGGATATATTGATGTTGGCACTGCGTGCCTTCGCAATGGACTTGTTCCAAATTCAGTTTTATGCAATAGATAAAAAAATGTTTGTGTTCATACTTTGTCAATCGTTATGATAAATTTCAAGGTCAAGGTTCTTTTTTAGTTATTTTATAATAATTTACTTTAAAAAATATAGAGGTTTTATCCTTATGAAAGGAAAGGTACTGTAGCAAGTCTCATTGTAAACTGTTCCAGCTTTAATTTTTCCTCTAAAATGTAAGCTTATTATTTTAAATGGATCATTTTTAAAGTTTTTCAAGAAAAAATGCTCAGTGTATGTAATTTTTTAGGGTTCCGTGAACTCTTATAGATTCGTCATGTCCGTCTGTCAGTCCCCACTTTCACTTGGAAACTATTAGCACTAGAGAGCTGTAATTTTGTGGAGATGTGTGTATCGATCACGTAGACAAAATGGTAGAATAAAATTTTGAAAAATATTTTTTTAGCGTACGTACGGAAGCTGGGCATGACTGTTTTTTCATCATCTACTCCATCGCGTGGGATATCGTAGAATAGATCCTCTAAAATTACTTGGGGGTTCCTAAGACTAGTTTACGATTTCGGGTTTCGTATGCGAGACATTGAATTTTAAAGTGCTAATTTTTGTTCGAGCTTGAAAAACCTGGAAAATTTCATGTACTATTATATTAAAGTTCACGAAAAGTACTATTATACTTTTCGTGAACTTTTAAGGAAAACTATAATGGTTAACATAGATTTGTTTGTTTAAGAGTAATAGTCGTTCAACTTTGGTTAAAGAAAATATTCTATTACCTATGAAAATACCTTAGAAGAAAACATTAATAGTGACATAGATGAAGTTATTATAGCGTAAAACCTTGCATTGTAAGAAAATCTAAAAAAAATATTTAAAAACCACAATAAAATATCATTAGTTCCACAACGCTACCGTGAGTACGCTAACGTTACGGTTTTATAAACTTGAAAAGTTCGGCGGTTATACCTCATCCTCCCCTTCTCAGGGGATGATCGCTTCAGATGAAGCATGTAAGGCCCTTCTGGCCATAAGCATGAACTACGGGTGTGTTTTAATCAGTAAGACTGACATAACCTTGCAGCCGGCTGTAGGGTATCCTTGAGGATTTCACACCCGCTCCCCCGCCTGGAAGTATTTTAGTTGCGATACATAGATTGATATTAATTGGTTTTTCTAATTTCCGAAATACACACATCAAAAGTGTCTAGGGATCAACATATATTTTTGCAATAACTTTTCTCCTGATTGATATTAATTAAAATTTTCTTTAAGGATTCATCAAATAAAGTGTTTTCGTTTGTCACAGTAACGATAAACCAAGTCACCTTTGCATTAATAAAGAAATTTGCCATTTTCCTAATAAAGGGATTTTTGACATTTGAACCACTAACACAAAAGTTCGAAAAAAAGACTGAAATAACAGTTTTCTCTAAAATTTTATTGGGTAACTTAAACAATTAATAATCCGTATTTCTACCGCGAACACTAACAACACAAGAACATCGGTTTGGCATACTCAAAATGAGTTCATCCAAATCACGCTGTGGAATGGCCGCCCATGTTCGTTGCAACAACAAAAAAAGGTCTTCTTGCGACTGGATACCCTCCATATTCGGCAGAGCTCTTCTCTGTAGCATATCCCATGCATGCTCAATCGGGTTCAAGTCTGGCGACTGAGCAGGCCAGGGCAGGACATTGATGTTAGCTGCGGCGAGAGTCTGTCTTACAACTCTTGCGGTGTGCGGTCGTGCATTATCATGCATTAACTGAAATAAGGGACCGATTTGCACTTGTAGAGGAACGATGACGTCTGATACAATCGTCTCAGCATAAATTTGAGCGTTGAGGTTGCCTCTGATCCAAATCAACTCAGTTCTTCCGCCGATCCAAATACCCGCCCATACCATGATGGTTCCACCACTATAAGGATGGACTTCCTGGCAGGATTTTAATCGCTGTTGGCGTCCAGGGGTTCTCCAGTGTCGTATACGTCTTGTATCCGGTCTCATACCAAAACGAGACTCATCAGAAAAGCACACGAAACGCCATTGTTCTTCTGCCCAATTTCTGTGTTCAAGAGCCCATTGATATCGAATCCTACGATTGTGCATTGCTATAGGTGGTACCCGTAGCGGTCTTCGGGAATGAAGGTTCACTTCATGCAAGCGGTTTCTGACTGTTTGGTCGCTAATTAAGTTCCCTGAAGAGTGATGAAGCCTCACGGCTAACATCATGGCGGTTATTGTTGGAGCTCTTCGAGTTAAGATTTGAATGTATCGGTCTTGTCTCCGTGTGGTGCAGCGATACCGTCCTCCATGGCGCTCAGCCACGGTACCAGTGCTTCGGTATCGTGTCCAAAGTCGACTGATAACACTCTGACTTGTATTCAGAGCTAAAGCCACAGTACGTTGCCGGGAACCAGCTTCTATCATTCCCACGGCTCTGAGCATTTCTTCCCTGCTTAAATGACGTCGCCGCTCCATAATAACGTTGGTTTTAATCAGTAGTAGGGAAACAGTAGCACTAATAATGTCTTCAATGCGTTGTATGTTTTTATAGGGAAAATATTGACAGCTGATTTTCATCTTTTACTCGAATTTGATTCACAGTTCCTGATTCAAATTATGAAATGCACCAAAAAGGATCCATATAAATTTATAAAATCATAAAATTACAAAGCCACATCTCAGTCTCAAGAAATCCGCATAAAAATGCTTGATCCCTAGACACTTTTGATGTGTGTAGAAAATAAAAACTCCTGCTCAAACATATTGTGGTTACTACAGGCAACTACGGAACTCTACACTGCGCGTGGCACTACACGCACTTGGTCGGTTTTTTAAGTTAAAAATTGTTATTTTTACATGACTACCCAAAAAATAGTGTCATGTTTTCAGAGTTCATGTATGTATATGTGTTTCTTTATTTGGTAACACTTTATCTACTTAGTAAATTTAAAATAATTCTATTATTTTTCTTTGCTAAGAAAATATCATAAACGCAGTAACTAAATCAGAAGCAGCACTTATCGACACATACTTCTCTAATTTAAGATGAACGAAACTGTATCGCTCTAAAAGGAGAGGTCTTAATCAAAAAGCCATTTACATAAATTACAAAATTCGTAGACAACTACAGAAACTAAACTTGCTCATCGAACTCTTTGACCTTTCCTGTCTCCTTTCGTTAAGCGTTATCTATTAACCCAGTGTTTAGTCTGCATCTCGTTACTCTAGGACTTTATACATTAGGACGTTATAACAACGTTTCGTTCGCCCATACAAAAAGTCTCGTAGCGACGTGTTATTGATCATGATGATTTTCTTTCGACCTTGTGCCCGAGCTGTTTATTACACCAAATTGCACGAACATTTTATTTTCTCTACGACAAACGTAGCTGCTACGAATCTCTATCTTATGTCGCTTCATATATGCGTATATGCATTCGTACTCGTTCGTGTGGTTATAGATAAAAACGACGGCTAAATTGCATATATACATACCTACTCACGTGCAGACCATTTTATTTGAGTACATACTACACCTACTTGAAACGTTTCTTGAAAAAAAAAACAAAACACTGCAAAATAATTTCCTACTTAAATTACTTCTGACCTTCAAACAATGAAACGAGGAATCCTTTTTGGACGAAACAAAAAAATGGAAATAAAAAACACATTAACATTATCCAGCATTCGCGTTAAAGCAATACAACCAAAATACTTGTAAAGATAAGATTTTTCGATAAGTTAATGCCAAAAAATAAGTTGTATCCTATCTCTATGTTACCTGTTAGCATAGTGTGGAATTGCACAGACTACATCCTACATCTAGATAAATATTATTACACTACTGCACTGTCAACTCTTTGACAGCTGCTCAACAATACAAGTATGCAAATACTTAAACCTACTGCCAAACAAATTATATATATTGACGATATTATAATAACAGACGACCTTCGTGTATCTTTCCTACTTTGTAGTCCTTTTGCACTTGTGAAAATGCGAAGCGGTAGGTGAGATGAGAATTAGATAGCCAGAGAGCCGGATGTGACCTTGTATCTATGCAAATTGAATAAACAAATTTGCACGCCGGCCATTCAAAATTTTATAATGTACAATCTTATTGCTGGTTTGCTATTTGAATCGGACTGAAATGTAATAATAATTAACAAGTCGGTATTATTAATGTACGTAGCAAGCAAAGATAAGCTCTAAGTACCTTAGCACGTGCCGGGAATACAGCAAGCCGGTACGAACGATTCCTTCCTGATTCTCCTGCCACCACACACTGAAACCCTAAGGAGTTCCTCAAGGCTGTCGCGTCGCCGCAATTTCACAGAGGTTAAAATCGCGTCCTCAACACCCGGCACTTGCACCTCACGCCGCTCGATCAAAACATAGCTCTCACAGATCTTCTCGGCACACTGACTCGATTTGCAAAATTTATTCATCGCATCCGCCGAAAACACTATTATTTTTACTAGCGCTCGAAGTAGAACCGACCCGGCATAGGCATCCGAATGTTTTCGTTATCCGGCACGAATTAGCACCAATGAACTGGAAGGAAAAACACCATGGAACGCTCGATCGGCGACTGCCGCCGGAAAACTGTTTCGTTTCGCGAGGTACACGTGAACGCGAGCGCTCGCCGGCCGCAACCGCGCCGTAAACACAGGGCCCGCGCCTCGACAACACACACACACACACACGCACGCGCCGGCGCGTCTACAACAACACACACACGCACGGCTCGGCACGGCGCGCGCATATCGCGCCCGCTAAATATAGAATATCACATCATACAAGACCAATCAAAATCACGCCACATCGCGACATACATCCAAGCCATTGGCTGAGACTTCATTGATAGATTGTGTAGAAGGCATTTCAATTCGCGTCTAACCGAAACTTTTCGATTAAACTTAACTGATATCAATATTGTACCTTACAGATTTATCTATTAAACTTATCTCTAGAAATCTGCATGATAACGCCACTGCAGTTGTCTATGCTGTTGAGAACATGTGAAAGTTTCAATTTCAAAGCGCGAATTTTAATTAATAGCGGCATGTGCGTTTAATGTCAACAAACTCGTCTGGGATTTGAAACATGATACAACTCATTCAAAGACTTAACTTCGATTATTTATTAAAATTATTATGCATCTACGGCTTTAAAGATTTAATTTTAGCAGTCTCTGCCTAATTAATTAATGTAAACAATATTTCATTTCTGCCAATTTATTTTCCCGGATATGATCGCATATTTTAATGATTTATATTGTTACGCATTTTTTTTATAAATTAGGATAATTATTTTATTAACTCTTAAAAAATACATTTGAACACTTGGGGGTCAGCCAAGTGGTCAAATGTATTATTCGTAAAAATAATAACGATTGTATAACTCGTATCTCTACAAGTTTACACTATGATTTTTGAAGTGATATTCCGCACGATTGTTAAATGAATACTTAAATGTTGGACTTCCAATTGAAAAGTAACTTTTTATAACATTTGTACTTGAGAAGTTAAATGCCTCAATTACATGTTTGAAATATCTTTAAAAAAAATTGATCTTAAAACAACAAAAGTGGTCTGTTGTGAGAACGAAATAATGAAAACACTATAACAATAACCAACTCTAACTTGTAAATATAATAATATGAAATAATAAATAAATAAATATTTTCAAACTCATACCAATTAGCCTAGTCCCACAAAGTTAGCAACTATATTAAATTATCGTTGACTGAAAGGATTGTGTTAAGGGATACTAGGTGAGCGGATAAAATACGTAAACTGATACACATATAAAGTATATTTTGTGTAGAAATCATACAAACATCCATCGCTCGTATTTAACATACTAACATTTTCCCCAACGAGATTCGAACCTTGAAACCCGGCGTACATACCACTCGGCCACGGAGTTCGTCTATACCTCTAGTCGTTCAGTCTATAAACCCGACTGCAGCGTCACCTAAAATAAAAAAAAAACTTAACTAAAGCTGTGCGGAAAGAGAATGGGCGTGGCGAAATACGGAACTAACATTAAGATTTTTATTTGGCAATCAAACCCAGCAATATGTAAAACGTCAAAGTTTTGTATTGATACGAATTTATTTGTTGTTGTGATTTCTTGCGGTTTTTTGTATTTAATCATGTCTAAAAGAGGTAAAACCTTACAAATACGGTAGAAAAGCACTACAGCGCCCTCTAATCTAAATCCCATTCTCTTTCCGCACAGACTTTATCAAGTCTACCCCATGTAGAGCCTGTCGACAGATAAGTTTTCACATTTTTTTTTATTTCCGTGCATTCTTCTTATTTTTTTCGTAACAACCTCCTACAAATTATTGGAAAACTTAAAAGAAGATCGATAAAATCGGTAAAGTAATTCTCAAGTTGTGGTGTGATCAAGGCAAACAAGGATTTTTTTTTATGTAATTTCCAAATAGTATTATAACAGAATCACAAATGATAGTTATTAAAATTATTTAAGCATAGTTTCGGACATAGTTTAAGAAGGCCTACAACATTTCCTTGAAAAAAGTGTTTTATTAAAAATGGTATACCTTTATCATCAAATTGTAAAATATTTATGTACTGAAATATATATATATATATAGTTATATAAAACTTAAACATTATTTCCTGTTCTTTTATTTGAAAATTTTCCAAAACTTAGTAAAAAATTGCCGAAAAATTAGAAAATTTAAGAAAATCTAACTTCGGGTGCCGATGGAAATGTTGGTTGCGGTTTTTTCTTAAATTTCGAACGAACCTCATCAGAAGCAATTTTAGTCTATGCCTATGTCTCACTTTATTATTAAAAGATGAAGAAACGAAACATGTAGTTCTAATTTTCACCACCCGCAAGTGGCGCCATTTGGAAGGCCCTCCATTTTCTTATTATTAAAAAATAGCTTCATTACTTAAATTATGTATGTTTTCTCGCAAATATGTTGAAAAACGTATGACATTAGTGCGGATTGGTATTACTTAGCACTAATATCATAAATAACTATTTGTCCCCTTATATTGATATTATATCAAAGTGAAAATCGCGATTTCCCTACTTTAACCGTTTTCCCTACTTAAAAAGCCACCCCCTCATTAATCTCGGCCTCAAATCGCTTATAATATATTTTTTCCCTATTTTTAAAGATGTTCTTGTCAAATGGTAATTTACTAAGTATCGATGCTTCAAATAAGTTCAAAATAAGCTCTGTTCAAAGATTAAATAAATAAGCTCTCCTGTTGGTTTTGTTTTGTGAAGAGTTAGCAAACTTGGCGAAAAATATGAAATATTACATTTTTACTTTAAGCATTAAACTGCTAGATTATGATATCTAAAAAAAATACACTACGACCTAGAATCCAGCCTCATACCTTGGCCGTTAAATGTTCTTTACATATACTACAAGTGTACATTACTAGGTATGAAATGCGATCGACGGTCACTACTGAAAACAGTTTAAATATAAGTGTTTTTTATGGATTTAGATACAGGTATCAAATTAATAATTAAAATAAAAATATAATAAAGAGTATCTTTATCTTATTTGGATAGTAATAAAAAAATATATAAATAAACAGTAAAATATGGCAAACTGAACTAAGTGTGCACAAAAGCTAATGAGGCGTTTGTTACCAAGACCCCTGCGTACCACAATTTAAGACGCTCTTCAGTCCATGGTTATTTTAAAACGATTCGTTATAATTGGTCACACTGCTCGCTAATCTGAACACAGATAATATTTCTTTTATGTTTTGATATCTTCCGTTATTGTTCAAGTAATAAACTGGATGAATATTTCTGCATAACGAATCTCATTGCCAAATGTAGAGATAGATAAGATTGTTTCCTTTTATATACTGTAACATAACAATTTGGAAAAAAATACGACTTATAAGGGTATAATATACTGTATTATATCATCATCATACAATCTAGAAATAAGGTCACTTATTAAACTTGAGCTTTGATAAGATAAAAAAAAATATAACTAATTCCATGAAAGTGAGATCATACAATCAAAGTATCACCCTACATTTATAAGTAATAAAACTTCTTTTCGGTCGGGGTGTAAATGGAAAAATCCTATGGAAAAAATGAAACGGAAATGCGTGTGTGTGTAGGATGCATGCGCAGCGCCTTATGCACAGAAATGAAATTTCACTTCAGATGTGTGGTCCATGCACACATTTTTTTTTATTGTTTTGGGTAACGATTTGTTATTGTCTTATTATCATTGTTTTCATTAATTCTCTTACAATGGCAATATGGTAAAAAAAATGTACTTATATATAAATAAAAATGTATGCACATCACTTTTAAAAGACTGCACCAAATTAAAAAAATATATTCTTTGTTACGTTCTTTTATATCACGATGAAGTTACTATACAGGGCGTCCCACGGCCACCTCACACGGAGGGAAAGTGTATTAAACAATGAAGATAGGATATTTTACTGAAAAAAGACATCATTTTATTTTTAATAAAAAATATAACTAATTCCATGAAAGTGAGATCATACAATCAAAGTATCACCCTACATTTATAAGTAATAAAACTTCTTTTCGGTCGGGGTGTAAATGGAAAAATCCTATGGAAAAAATGAAACGGAAATGCGTGTGTGTGTAGGATGCATGCGCAGCGCCTTATGCACAGAAATGAAATTTCACTTCAGATGTGTGGTCCATGCACACATTTTTTTTTATTGTTTTGGGCAACGATTTGTTATTGTCTTATTATCATTGTTTTCATTAATTCTCTTACAATGGCAATATGGTAAAAAAAAATGTACTTATATATAAATAAAAATGTATGCACATCACTTTTAAAAGACTGCACCAAATTAAAAAAATATATTCTTTGTTACGTTCTTTTATATCACGATGAAGTTACTATACAGGGCGTCCCACGGCCACCTCACACGGAGGGAAAGTGTATTAAATAATGAAGATAGGATATTTTACTGAAAGAAGACATCATTTTATTTTTAATAAAAATAGAACTGCATTCGCAGATTTTTTAAAATTCGCCTGTTAAAACTGGGAATCAAACTCGTGAAATTTCGAAAAAAAAACATGTAATTTTTTAAGATAACCATAGAAAAGATTTATCATAAGGATTATTTTTTGCTAAATAACATAGCACTTTAAGTACACGAAAGCGAAAGTAGCGAGTACACGAAAACTATCATAGTTTTCGTAATAGGGATGGTGGATCAAAAAGTATTGGACACGTATTTTTTCTTTTTTCACATAATATAAACATTGCAGAGATATATTGATTTGAAAAGTCGCATGACGTCACGTTTGAGTACACTTATAAGTGAAAATTCACTCAAAAGTGACGTCACGAACCCCTACTCCCAAACTTTGACGCGCTATAACTTTGTCATTTTTTGGTTGATTGCCCAAAGAAAAAATACGTGTCCATTATTTTTTGATCATCTTGCTGACGGACTAAATAGAATTTCGTTTACTGTACCCCGTCATCATCCCTATTGTAAAACTCATACTAAGGGTACTGAACGGATTTTGAAGTATGACAATATAAATGTTATTGTTTTTCTACTATATATTTTACTCGCGGCCACCCGCGACTTCGTCCGCGTTAAGTTTTTTGACAATCCCACAG